TCACTCAAACTATAGACAAGAAATTACCTGTAACTGTACTCTTTCTAGACATGAGCAAGGCATTTGATCTAGTCAATCACAGTAAACTGCTGGATAAATGTGATCGGTATGGTATCCGCGGACCGGCTCAAGATTGGTTGCGTAGTTACTTAACCAATAGAACGCAGTACGTGGAGATTTCTCGAGTTAACGAAAAATTAGTCTCAGTATCTCACAAATCCTCGATTAAAATGAATGGAACAGGCGTACCACAGGGAAGCGTCCTCGGACCGCTTTTATTCCTTTTGTATATTAATGACTTGCCTAATATTACCGATAAAAAATGTGTCCTCTTTGCTGATGATATATCTGTTGTGGTGTCCGACACAGGCAAAGTAAAAGTAAAACCTTACGAGCAGGAAATAAATGAGACTTTGGAGGCCATTATACACTGGCTTCAGGACAATGATTTGGAAATTAATGTCTCCAAAACTAAATATGTTCAGTTTGCTAATTATAAGCGTAAACCACCCAGGCTAAATATCAGTTATTCAGGTCAATCTGTCTCTAAAGATAACAATATTAAATTCTTGGGTATTATGCTAGACGAAAACTGTAATTGGAAACTACACGTAGAAAATGTCTGCAAGAAATTAAATAGATTTGTGTATGCACTTAGGCAACTACGCAAAACGACAAATGAAAGCTCAGCGCTATTGGCATATCACGGTTACGTGAACTCTGTGTTGAGGTATGGCCTGTTGTTGTGGGGCAATTCATGTGATATAGACAGAGCATTCATAGTTCAGAAAAAATGCATTAGGGCTATATGTGGAGTAGGACCATTAGAGACATGCAAACCGCTTTTCATAAAGCTGAGCGTTATGACTTTGGCATCTCTGTATATTTTTGAGATTGGTATGTTTGTGAGAAATTATAACTTGTTTAATAGAGTGAATGAAGATAGTAAGCATTTACAACGAGATGCATCCAAACTAAAAATGGATAATTGTCGCAGTACTCTTTATGGCAATAATTGTGCAATAATGGCAATTAGAGTATATAATAAAATTCCTCGATCTATTAGAGAACTACCTTTGCGTCAATTTAGAATTAAGTTGAAAGCATGGCTAATTGAAAAATGTTTTTACAGTATTAAAGACTTCATTGACTATGGAAATGTAGAACGAAATAGATTTTAATATTATGACATGTAATTTTACAGACATAATGCCTTGACATGTATTTAAAAATTAATTTGACATTTTGGAATCAGTATTTTGACATTACGTAATAATTAATCAATGAAATTAGATTTATATTCTATATTATATAAAGTGCCTTATAAACAAACATTTGCATGCCTGGAAAAGGTGGAATACACTGTACTGTTGAAAATTAGACTAAGATCCATTGTATCACATGTTCCTGCGAATAAATTTCTATTTCTATTTTTTCTATTTCTATTCATGCAAAACTTGAAGTAAATCTATGCAGTGCTTTTTAAATTTAGTCTGGACATACAAACAGACAAAAATTCGATATCGATGGTAGATCACGTCACAAGACTCTACTCTTTTAAAAAAATATTCAATGTAGATACAGTTTGGACTTTCCTATGATTTTATTCTAAGTATACCTACATTTCGTTATGCCGTCCGTAGATCACCTTTACAAAGTTAACAGATACATACAGTCAGTAGGTACTTGTCCTCTCAAAATATGGCGCGATCTTTTATCAAGATAACGTTTTAATTTAATCTTTTATCAAATTGAAAGTCAACGAGATTGGTTCTGGTATTTAGATGACAGTATAATTGAACAGGGTATGAAAATTAAAAATATAATTAGTCCGTAAGTTAGGTAATGAAAAAATATTAGACACGTATTTTTTTATTTTGTCGTATATAATAAAACAATACTTAGATAAAACGAATCGAAGTTTAGGAGTGGGGGTTAAAACGTCTTTTCTACGTATAAAATGTACATAGAAGTGACGTCACGCGACATTTCAAATCAATATATTGTCGAAAGTATTCGTTTCTGTAAGAAAATAAAAAATACGTGTCTAATGATTTAAAATAATCTACCAGACGGACATTAACTTAAAAATTAGGCATCTACTCTATGTCATAAAAATATAAAATTTAATCCAGTCTGTTATATAATGCAAGTGTTACAACGCAGTTCTGCCATAAAAGGCAATGGAACACAATCTAACCAAGACGGATAATTCAATAAACCCGTTTAAGGGATCAATTATCCAGTTCTTTGTCATAATTGATAGTTACCTGAGGTAGGTACTTTACTAATAACAATTACAGAATAATATTACTCTTATACTTTTTAATGATAAACATTACAGTTAAGCGGAAAATAGGTAGAACCTAAAACCTAAATTAACTAAAAAACGCAGCGATGTCGCGCAGCCTACTGCCGCAACAGCGCATGCTGCTCACGAGGAAGAACCCCCCTGTGGTTCGAAACTTGTAGAGCTTTCTCAGTATATTCACGTGAATAACCCGTGATTTTTAGTTAATTTAGTATGTCTCACGATAGTTATTATAAAAACATAGATACTTAGTACCTATCATAATTTTAACATTTATTTTTGTTTTAAAAAACGTTGCCTCACGCTAGGATTTTCTCCTGTTTAGTGGCTGCGTTTACAAACATACAAGTTCACATACATATGACACCCAGTCACGGAACAACAATCTGTGGATCACGCAAAGAGAAGGTTATTTATTATTCATTTCACTCCAAATTTTTGTTTGTATTTATTGTATTGTGTTTGTGCCTGGTGTTGTACCAAATAAATTATTTTTCTTTCTTTCTTATAAACAGAACAACTTTTACTATGGCGTCTATGGCGGAATTTCCGCATCTATGATACTTTGGTTCTGCTCTGGGGTTCTTAAGTAGGTACTGAGTAAGATTTCACATTTCCTTTTGCGTAAACACTTGTAAGTTGTTTACTCTCTCATTAAACTTCGAATACATAACAATCTAATAAATTTTGCTATAATATTTCTGCTATAAATAAACTACATATGTATATTGGTCCATTCCATGCCCCTAACGTAGACATTAAAAAGAATACAGCACCGTAAAGGGCCTCTTGCTCTTGAACCGGAGCCCCGGTAACGCGTTGAGTCTTCCGGGGCTCCGTATCGGGCATCAGTCCTACTGGATCCCATTTGTCGTCATCTGGTGGCTCTGATTTTGGTCAGACGGCGAGCTACCCTTGCTCACCATCCACAGCCACAGTAAGCAGGGCTTACAGTGGTCCGGCCGTCGTTGCTCTCGTCGTCGATCTCTGACGCTCGGATTGTCTCCTGTAGAGGTTGAGGCGTGAGGAGGAACTTTCCCTAACTCGCCCCATCTCCTTATCTAGCATGACCTCCGTGCCATGACCTGAACCAGAGCCAAACAGATGAAAAACACACACCGCCGCTGAATGCTCCACCGTGGACATCCTTCTACTGCTTGGAAACTCGACTATTCTTTAGTTAAATATTTATACATACAACAAAATAGGATTAAAATACAACTAATATATTATGTAGTAAGATAATTTTAATTTTCTTAATAGTTTCATTTAATGGTTTCTTATTCTTATTTTTTATTATTATTATTGGTGTACAAACTAATCTGAGATATGTAAACGGGTTTTGTGTTCCTAATTTGATTTGATCCGAAGAATATTTGAGTTACGTTAGTTGATTTAACAATTGATTCCTTTTCATAATTTTAATTACTTATTACGTGACCAATTACATTTTAAAGACAATGATAATGTTTCTTAGTAAAAATAAATGACCGTTGCAGTTGTATCTGTTAATAATTCATAGACTTTTTGTTAAGAACAATTTAGAGAATTCTGACATAATGTGTAGGTACTAATTAAATTTTTCAAAGATAATCAGGTCATTATTTTCGGTTTAGCTGAAATAATTTACCTACTAGTTTCCATCTAATATAATTATTTTACACTATTGTTTTGTTTACGTTGCTACTTGCTACAACAAATAGCAGTATGATGAAACTGGGTAAAGAAGCCACTACAAAATATTTGAAATCCGATGTTCGCGTGTCCCACAACAATTTTTGTACCTTTTATAAACCTGTTCCTAACGGCAACTGTATGTGATCAGGGATCTTGTTTACTCTGGATACTTATTTATCCCTATAGTAGACTTAAAAGAAGTCTGTATTTTGCCGAAGAAAACAACAAATTGATAAAACGTAAACTACTATAAATTAAAAAAGAATCAGATACGATACGCGTTATTTATCTAATCAGACATTCGATTTAATTTTTCGTTGATTTATATTACAAAAAATCTGCTTAGTTATCCTAATACCTATGCGTGAAAACACGAATAAATTCGTACTTTATAGAGAACTAGCGACCCGCCCTGGCTTCGCACGGGTTCAATATGCATGTATTATACATATAAAACTTCCTTAAGAATCACTCTATCTATTAAAAAAACCGCATCAAAATCAGTTGCGTTGTTTTAAATATCTAAGCACACATAGGGACAGACGGACGGCAGATAACGACTTTGTTTTATACTATGTAGTAAAGAGAAACAAATCTAATGAAGTTTAATTTTGTATGAGCGTGGCCGCGACCCTCAATTATAATGTTTACCTTGTTTATTTATGGAACATAGAGTTTGGGTTGAGTCGCTTCCAACGAATAGATTGCGTGTGTCAGTCTTTGAACTATAATAAAATGCTTCCTAAACACGCCGCGCGGGTCATCGCAAAATCACAACACTTATAATTATCTACTAACTAGCTTCTGCCCGCGACTTCGTACGCGCAATCTCGTTTTCTCCCGTTTCCGTAGGATTTTCAAGACTTTTTTCTGTCATAAGACTTTTCTCCGGACAATAATAAACACAACAAAAAGAAATCAGCCAAATCGATCTAGCCGTTCTCAAGTTATAGCGTGACAACGGGAAACGGGTTTAAATTTTATATTGTACAGATCAAAAATTTGGACTTACCTGCAACTGCTAACGCCTGATCCAGATCAGCTGCATGTTTGTCTTTACTATCCACATCTTCAGCAACAGTATTTATTTTACTTTCCATTGTTATAATATCATACACACAATACTAAACTAAAAGTTATTTAATTTCAGAACCGGAGATCACAACTTGTAGCAAGCATTGTTTTCAGTCGTCTTTCTGCGACTGCAGATAAAACCGTATTGATGAACGAAAACACGCGATTATAATTCCAATTAATTAACTGATTACAACTGTGCTAAAACACGTCCGATTTACGAATAGTGATAATGATGCGAAGCGGTAATTAGCGAGCGTAAGAGCGCGCGTATTAAAAAGTCGTGCGTATATCAGGAATTAGTTTGTGATACTGGCCGGCCTATGACCGCGGTCCCGATCCCATGCCTCGTTCACAATTCACATCAACCCGGACTGTTCCATGCTTCGTTTTAAACTGCACATAAATGTTTTGTGATCTTCTGTTTTATATTTAACAAACGACATTGTAGCTTTTGCCCGGCTAAAGACCGATAGAGATCCTTTTGTTTTAAATTTTTTAAGTGTTGTGTTTACTGACTGATAAATTTAGTTATAAAATTTTATAGTCCAATAAGTAGCTATGATTCGTTAAGATTGAATAATGTCAAGCAAGGGGAATATTGAGACAAGACGGTTGTTGTCGTGAGTATCGATAAAACAGTGTCTCCTGACGATAGCTACGTCTACCAAGTTTGTCCTTGAAAACGATGACATATTTATTAAATAATAGAATAGATCAACTGTTTATCGTGCACAGCAAAGCTGTTAAAAATGTTTATGTCTGCGAAAATACGTAGTTAGTACATACATATATCGATACAATGAAATAATGATTGTCTAAACTGCCAAGATTGTTTGCCTTCTTTCACAAAAAAATTCTTCTGTATTCATGATGTGAGATTGTCTATATTGACAGGGTAAGAAAATTAAAAATCTAATTAGTCCGTCAGTCAGATAATAAAATATTAAACACGTATTTTTTTACTTTGTTGTATAATAAAATGATACTTAGATATAACGGATCAAAAGTTTAGGAGTGGAGGCTAAATCGTCATTAAATTTCTATGTAAAAAATGTACATAGAAGTGACGTCACGCGACATTTCCAATCAATATATTATCAAAAATATTAGTTTCTGTAAGAAAATAAAAAATACATGTCTAAAGTTTTAAAATAATCTACCAGACGGACACTGATTCATTCAATTTTTAATTATTTTAAATGCCACAGGCTTTATCTACCAGTCTACTTTTAGCTGGAAAGTCAGGACATGGTAGATTTAAAGTTAAGCAACTAGTTATAATAGGAACTTAATTATTTTATCACTGCAAGTGATCATTCTTAAGCATTAATATAATACTAATGTATTGTTTAGTTAGATATTATCTATATTACGTTTATAAGTAGGTACACAAGTATTTTTTGTGCCAAATAATTTATTGTGTTATTGTTCAGTTTATAAAAATAAATTACACAGGTACCTTTAAAGTTGAGTTATTTGTTTTAGTTTTTCATGACACAAAAGGTGAATTAATGTATATTTAACATAGTACTCAATTGTGAAAATCTACATCAATGTTGTATAGAACTCAGGGTAGAGGAGACTAGACATTACGACAGTGATCATTGAAACTATCAAATGAATTGCCCCCTATTACATGGGAGTTGTAGAGCGTAGGACGTTCAACCGCAAGGTGGATAGATGATCCGACTAAGGTCGCAGGGAGCCACTGGATGCAGGTCGTTTCCAACTGGCCTATTTGGAAGTGATTGGAGAAAGCCTATGTTCAGCAGTGGAAGTCCTATGGCTGATATGATGATGATGGTGACATAAGAGTCATGGGAGTACCCCTTCGAGGATAAAAGGCGTAATGTTATGATATGTTGTGTTCATTGGCCCATCAAATAAAAATAATTGCCTAAGTAGTTACTTTGCACAAATGAGCTGACCGGTCGCCTGATAAAGTATACAGTACAAAATATAGGGATTTTTAAAAATATTTTACCTATGCCTTTTCCTTACAAGGAGGTTATATTTGTATTTACGTCAACACATGCAGTGAAATAGTTCTTAGTCACACGTAATGGGGGCGAACCCAATTCTACATACTATTAGGTTCTCAAATTGTAATTCTATTGGGGAATTCCAAACGTAGTGAGAGTGTTTCGTGGTTTAACCAGGTAAAAAGGGTCTTAGTAAATATAGGTATAGTATGTACCCGTGATCACGAATTATAATTTAGTATTAAGGAATCTGAACAGTTTTCATGAACGTGGATCTAGTGAGTAGGGACCTATTTTAAGGACTTAGTAAATTAGTAGATCATTAAGTAAAAATAATTTTATTAAACAGTATTTCAAAATAATTTACTCACAGCTATTTACAAATGAGAACTTTGTGGATTTCTGTTATTATTGCTCGGCGAATTTTCTAGTTGTACTGTCTTCTTGATTAGAGGTTTTTGTGACCCGGGGAGTAAGAAAGAGAGCAGACCGCACACTGAAAAAGAAGAAACTTATATTTTCGAGTTTTTTTTTCGATGAGTATTTATTTTATTTTATTTACAAAAGTTTTAAACTATGGGAGAGCCATGCTTCGGCACGAATGTGCCGGCTCGACAGGAGTGATACCATGGCGTCACAGAAAACCGACGTAAAGCAACGCTTGCGTTGTGTTTCGTCGTGTGAGTGAGGTTACCGGAGGCCAAATTACCCTCCTCTTCCCAAATCTCCCCAATCTCTGAATCCCCAAAGATCCTCAAATTCCTAATCCCCAAAAAGCCGGTAACGCACTTGTAACGCCTCTGGTGTTCCAGGTGTCCATGGGCGACGCCGATTACTTACCATCAGGTGATCCATATACTCGTTTACCGGCTTATGCCATAAAAAAAGTAATGAAATTTAGATTTCTAACTTAATTTAAGGCTTGGTACAGTCTTAAGACGGTCTACATAAGTCTCTAAGGCAGGTTTTAGTGTCGCGCTGATCATCAGCGCTCACAGCCGAGATGTATGAACTTGGTAGTCAACGCTGTCGGTGGACAGCAGACTACCAATCAGTCACCAAGTAGCAATCAGCGCACACGGTGGTGCGCGGTGATTGCTACTCGACACACAAAATCAGCCTAGATCGTTGGTTGCTCCAGCTAGTACGCTTTTTGTTATTTGAAAAGAAATCTAAAATTGATTTAAAAAAATAATACGCAGTAGACATACGCATAAATGTTAAGATCAAAGCTGCTTCTGTTAAAATCATCATTGGGACAATTCTAGATTGTAAAAAACACTTACCCAGTAATAATCCTCCAAATAGGTAGAAAGTCAATTCGCAAACTGCGTTCAGGAGAACGCCTGCGACGTTGATGCCGACGATAGAACCAGTTCGCCCACACATCATCGTCAGTCCCACTGCCATGCCCCTGAAACAGTTTAAATAGCTATGTTTTACTCTGACTGATTGCGTTATCTAATCCGAACAACACTACTTAAAATGTCTAATGCCAGAATACTGAAACGTTACTCAATTTTAAGTCATGCTCAAATATCGTGCCATCTCTGTCATTTTACAAAGAATTTGTAGAGATAGAACTATCTTAAAATTGAGTAGCGTTTCAGTATTCCGACATTAAACATTTATGTGTGACTAGCTGACCGCACAAACTTCATACCGCCGATATACCGATTTTTTTCTCTATTTTAAACTTTCTCTGAAGTTCCACGAACATTCCAAAACCAAAATTAGCCAATTGGGTGCAGTTTTAGCTCGAGTTTTAGCAAGAGTAAAGAATGGAAATTCAGTTTTTCAAAAGCACATTTTATATGATTGTTGGACTATTATTCATTATAGGTTCATATTTAACCAAATATATTATATATAATTATATTTTTTAATTGCCTTGGAAGGTGTGGCTTAGTATGAAAGTACCTACTTAAAATCATGTATATAACCAATATATAACTCGTGTGTTACCAGAAATAAAGTTAGTTATGCATTACACTTTGTGATGTTTCAATCAATCTGACACCCGTCCTTATACTGTAAACTACCCGTATGTCTACTTTATGACTCAATACACACCAAGTGTTTGCGTTTCAATAATATAAATATTTCCATTTAATTGAATACACAATCCTATAATAGTAATTTTACTATTAAAATATTTAAACGTCTACGTGAATAGACCGTACCGTATGAACTATAAACATGTTTAACTCACCTTAGATGTGTTGGGAAAAATTCTCCGGAGTATGCATTAATTGGTCCGATAGCTAAAGATAATATTTGCAGCGATGAGAGTAGGACGGCGAAGACCATATCTTGAGTTATAAAGTTGATGAGTACACAGAATGTTCCTATTAGTACGAATACTAGGATCATAAGTCTCTTCTTGCCGATGAACTTGACGCAGCTACCGACTGCCAGACAGATTACAGTACAACTCGCATTTGCAACTGCATTTATCACAAATGTTACTGTTTCTATTGTGTCGATGCATTCATCGCTTTGTGATGTCTGTAATATAAGAAACCTATTTAGTGCTCTCATAACTAGACAAAAAATTAACCTCACAGAGTTGACAAAAACTGTTATTGAACCTTGAGCAATAAAATACATTGTTTTATCTGAGAGTCTGCCTCGTTGGCCGAGTAGTCACAAGTGCGATGGCCGGGCTAGAGGTTCAGTTTTTTTTTTAAAAAGTAGTTTTCTAGAAATGTGCCCGGTATATGGCAATAGGTTCACCCCCTATTACAAGGGACCCACGTTACATTGTACAGTGGCATTAAGTGCCGTAATGTGCACCTCTGCCTACCCCTCCGGAGATAAAAGGCGTGATGTTATGAATCTGAAAGTAGTTTTGAGTGCAGATTATAGCTTTATCCAACAACACTTACCTGATTGAGTCGATCAAAGATGACGTCACATGCCGTCTTGTCTTCCCCGTCACCAGTCATAACTCTGTTTAAGATTTCTGGTACCCATACGTATAGACCATTTATTCTGAAATGCATTGTGGTTTTTAATGGTATAGAAGGCAAACGAGTAGACGGATCACCTGATGGTAAGCGGTCAGCGCCGCCCATGGACACCCGCAACACCAGAGGAGTCACAGGTGCGTTGCCGACCTTTTAAAAAGGAGTACGCTCTTTTCTTGAAGGTTTGAACGTCGTATCGGTTCGAAAATACGTCCGACGACAGATCATTCCACAGTTTTGCTGGGCGAGGCAAAAAGCTACTTGAAAAGCACATAGTTGTGGCCTCCCAACCATCTATATGATGGGGATTATATTACCTTGTTATTAAAGCATTAAAGACTATAATATCTATTTACTATACAATTAACAAAATATAGGTTCCAACACGGAAAACTGCTTTGATGTATGACCCGCAAAATGTTGACAGGGGTTTCTGGATATTGTATATGAGTGATAGAAATTACTAGCGATGGGAGAATGAGAAAAAATATGTGTTATTTATTTTACTAGGGCACCTAGTTTTTAAAGCATGTTAGACGCCATGAGGGTGGTTAAATTGGTGACCGATGTTAGCGGATGATTTGTCTTCAACAGTTTTCTACTGATAGTCAAGACTTAAACAACATTGTTTTCTTTTGTGTTGTGTGTGCAGTCACACATAACTGGGTACTTGCCTACTTAATCCTTACTAATATTATAAATCGGAAAGTGACTTTGTTTGTTTGTTTGTTTGTTCCACTTTTACGCCGTAACTACTAAACCGATTGCTTTGAATTTTTGCAGACGTGAAGTTAGAAGTCTGGATTAAATAATAGGGCTTTTTATCCCGGAAAAATTTGATATTCTCAAGGGAAAACGAAATTATTGGTATAGATGGCGCTGTGTGTATTGGTTGGTATATGTCACATAGGCTACTTTTTATCCTTTTGTGACGCGAGCGAAGCCGCGGGTAAAAGCTAGTCATGAATAAATTATTTCGACTGTTTAATACAATAATCACACTTTCATTAATTGATTTAATTACCAACTCAATTTTATTATTTAACCAGCAAATTATTAAGAAATAAGTATACTCTTTGACGCTAAAAAAACGTGACGTCACAGTACACGATCTCGTACAAAATTCATAGTATAAATTTTTGACAGTTCGAAAAAAGTATTGAATTTGACTAGTTGGCAAGTAGGTACCCAATTTTACACACAGCAACCGGTCGCGCAGCCGCAGCATCAACCGCCTACCGGGTAGTAAAAGCGGTCTAATATAGGTAAGTGTAAGTAACATTGTGTATACTTAAACAAAATTAGCCAAAAAATATGTTACAGATACTTACGTTGTAAACACGCCGAACATAAGGAAACTATTCAAAGCAAACCATTTTAGATACGGTGGCTTAAACAAAGGCACGCTTTGAACTCGTAATGATTTGAAGAAAGTTTTCTTTTCACTGTCGTATGGGGGCGCTATCAACCGCTTGATCTGAAACAATATTATATTGTTAACGGAACATTGAATAAAAAGTGCATTTATTAGTGCTGTCTCGTTGGCCGAGGGGTTACAAGTGCGACTATCGGGCTCGAGTTCGATTCCCGGGTCGGGCAAATTAATACTGGGTTTTTAAAAGTTCTCAGTAGTAGCGCGAAGTCTGGACATGTACCCGGATGGCGATAGGCTCACCCCCTATTACATGGGACTCATAACATACCTACATAGTGGAAAGTGGGTGTCATATTTTACAGTGGCATTAAATGCTATAATGTCTACCTCTGCCTATACCTTCGGGGATAAAAGGCGCGATGTTTATTAAAATAGTGCCAACAATTTTTAACAAGAACCAACTACAGATATTGGCTACCGTTTATGCCGATTAAGATTAGTCTGATGATTAATATGGATTTTATTAAGGGTATTATTTAATGCGACACGGAAATAATATTAGAGTGAAATGATGACGTAATGTATTATCCGCCTTTTCAACAGTTCTCTCCAAAAAAGAAGCCACAATTAAAATCTTTTCAATATAGTCCGCAACGCATTTGTGGTACTTCTTTGTGGCTTTGCCTATAACCCATTTAGTAGCCAACGAGGCTAAAACAGTGGTGTAAAATCAACTGAAAATAATATTTACTGGAAATTCACCAGCTCCCTTCTTCTTGTTGCCAATGTAGATGTCTCGTAGAACGTCGAGAGCTTCATCAATTTTTCCTTGAGAAACTAAGAATTTTGGACTCTCAGGACCAAACATCATGAGAACAGCAGCTATGACGAAGACGCTTGCGTATAATATGGTGAGCAGCCTCCATGGTCTGAACAAGTACAGGCCGAAGTTTATTCGGAAATCCAGAGGCAGTATAGCCCAAGCCAGTACTGAAATACAAGGATTTATGTTTAAAGTACTACACACCATAACTTATTCCTCAAAGACATAAAAAGAGAAAAAAATCTGAATGGATTCAGTTTTTTATGGACTCTAAGTTTCCAATTCTTTTTAGTAAGTTACGAGGCATGGTATTTAATCCTACAAAACCATTTTCGAGTTAAATGTCATCACCGTATAGGGTTGGAAATTTTTACAGGATTTTACATGACTATAGATGACACTTAAGTTAATAAACACAATTACGGTGGCCCGTAAAGCGTAGCTCGTAGTGCGTGTGTCGTTGCGCGTAGTTCGTAGCACGTAGTGCGTGTGTCGTTGCGCGTAGTTTGTAGCACGTAGTCCGTAGTGCGTAGGTCGTAGCGCGTAGCTAAGGAGGAGGCGGAACGCGTGAGGCAGCGAAGCGCTGCCTCCTCGCAACCCAGCCGTCGCGAAGGACTCACCGGGCGTCGGGGATCGCGGGACGATCTCCGGCCACCGTAAGCGCGGGACTGCGGACGGCGAGCATGGGTGGCTCCCCGTCCGACCAGAAACAAACCCGAGCGTACGGCGCGTAGCGTTCCGCGCGCGCCTATAAGAGCCATCAGACCACCACAGATGGGGCCCAATAGGGCCGATCCCGATTCGGAGTCGCGGAGAACCTAACGGGTAACCAGGGCTCCGCTCGACGTGCAGGAGAAGGAACGGGGTGGTTTTTAGTCAGTAAGAGTCTGACACTCCCTTCCGCCTCACCCAGGCGGGAGCAGTAATTCGATGATTTTCCCCCCTTAAAAAAAAAAGGCACGCAGAGCGTGATGACAGCGCGCTTTTGCTCTTCACTTGGCTTACCTTGTCGGAGCGACAATTATTCTTTATCAGATACTCCCGATAATAATAATAATGATAAGTGAAACAATTCGATGTGTTACTTACATGGGACAATAAGTGTTCCGCCAACTTGTAGAGCATTAGTGATAGATAGCACGACGTCCCTATTCTTGGCAGGCAGGATCTCACCGATAAACGTGTAGGGAACTGCCGCCGGGCAGGCTATGCTGACCGACAGTAATTTATATGTTAAGGTGGTAAAGAAAAGATATACCTACTATATACGAGTTATAGAAAAATAGAAACACGTCATTAGGAAAGTATGTTAATCTTAGACTATTTTGTGGTTTTGTTACGATTTATGACAATGATAGTTAGATGTTAAAAGCACCTGTATCCTTACCATATTGCTGAGATAGACTTTACAATTGCAAAAGTTATTAGGTTTGGCATGAATGCAGCTACTATGCTAAAAAGTCCAGCGAGGAATGATGCGATTACGATCATACTCTTACGGCCCCGAGTGTCCACTAGGTAGCCCCATGGAAATGATGTGACCACGACACCTGGAATAAAATGTAAAATGGATTTAGGCTTGAAAGGGACTTTGTATTCTTTTCAATTCACTAGACCACAGAAGCACTGAATTCTATATTCATCTCCAAATCTTAGTACAAAGTCATTAGACAACAAGAAAAAATTTAATTAAAATAATTAAAACCTAATTTCTTTTTCAATTCTATATTTGCAGTTACCTATATCTATTCTAAACTAACAAGAACACATTTGAATTAACCATATTTATAGTGAGATCTAAAAAGGTTGCTATTTTGCCTATTTATTAAATGCGCTTTATAGCTGCGTACCTATGTAAGGTATTGATGCGATGAATCCTCGTTGGCTATCAGTCATCTCTAGATCGCACATCGCTGCTGGTAGCACGAAGGAGTAGCCGACTGGCTCCAGGATAGCGCCAATCAAGAACAGGGCCAATAACAAGGAATATTTGATGTTGTACCATCCTAAACCTGGAAAAAGTATCAAATAATGTTATGAGCAAAAAGCTTATGGCAAAAATGTTATTTTTTGAAGATTTTTTTTGGAGTTTACTAACGTAACGAAAGAAAAGTACTACATACTATGGAAGTAGACGTAACATTAAATTACTTCAACAATACATGTTTTCTATAGCAATATGGGCGAGTAAAATTAACTAAGATTATTCATACATTATAACGAATAGATTTTAAAATTACATGCAGATAAAAAAATTCTTGGAAAACTTAGATTATCGTGGTTCTGTAAAATTAAAACTTTTTTTCAATTGTTCCCATCCCATGGTGATCTGTTGACACAATCATCCTTATACTATTATAAATGGAAAAGTGAGTTTGTTTGTTTGTTCCGCTTTAACGCTGTAACTTCTAAACCGATTGCTTTGAATTTTTGCAGACGTAAAGTTAGTAGTCCGGAGTAAATAATAGGGTACTTTTTATCCCGGATAAATTTGATATTCTCGAGGGAAAACGAAATTATTGGTATTTTTTTTTTTTTAAGGGGGGAAAATCATCGAATGACTGCTCCCGCCCGGGTGAGGCGGAAGGGAGTGTCAGACTCTTACTGACTAAAAACCACCCCGTTCCTTCTCCTGCACGTCGAGCCGGAGCCCCGGTTACCCGTTAGGTTCTCCGCGACTCCGAATCGGCATCGGCCCTATTGGGCCCCATCTGTGGTGGTCTGATGGCTCTTTGAGGCGCGCGCGGAACGCGACGCGCCGTAAAATTATTGGTATAGATGGCGCTGTGTGTATTGGTATATGTCACGTAGGCTACTTTTTATCCTTTTGTGACGCGAGCGAAGCCGCGGGTAAAAGCTAGTTTACCTATATATCCTATAAAAGTATCGTTCATTATGATTCATAGAATAACAAAGATATAAGTTTGAAGTACTTTCTGGGCTCCTGATAGCACCGTATTGGGTAATCCTCGATTATTTATAATTCAGATAGCGAGGCGTGTAACCACATGTCATTGTTATTATGTATCAAGAAAATTATTGTCATTCAATATCAATTTAACTGATAAGTGTTGCAATCGTAACTCAGTTTATAGCAGGTACTATCTTAGAATGGCTCATAATTCCGATTGTAACAGAAATGTTCGACCTTAAAATGTATTGAACATTTTCGAACTAAATAAAACGGTTAATAAACGTATGTATGTTGAATATGTTGATGTTCCGGCTTACTCACGTAGCTGTTTGATGAATATGAGTGTAGCATGGCTGAAACTCGTCGAGTTCCTCGTCAAACATTTACGTTAGTAAGTCGTCGAAAACATAATAAATTAATTTAGTATGCGTCACGAAAGTTTTAATACGCTCCAATTATTTGTGTAATAGATCATAAATATAGGTCATTACCCCAAATATTTAAATACTGCATAATAATAAACCTAATATAACCTAATTTCTCAGAGTAAAAATTATTTTGTGTAATTCAAAGAGTATAGGGGAGTATATAAGTATAGGGGAAGTGTAATTCACACGAAAATATTGATGTCAAATTCTTCTTCTACATTGTATTTAATGGCTTACCTGCTACAGCCAAGGCTTGATCCAGGTCTGCTGCATGACTATCTTCCTTTCCTACACTCTCGGTAACCGTCTTAATATTATTTTGCATTTTGTATAAACAAAACTTAAAAAAAAAAACAAGAAATTTAGATCACACAGGTAGAATTGTTAGCCAGGCATTTTTCTACAAGTTAGAATGGAGACCAGTCCGATTTCCACGAGTGTTACAGTACAAAGCTGTATAATAACCATAAAACTGAATTATTTAAACCGGCGCATTTATCAAGAATTCCACTGTGATAGTGTCAGTACAACAAATTGTAGATTATAATATTTTTATGTTGATGAATGACACAGCACCTTTTATCCTAATAAGGAACTAAAATATATATGAAGCGACCACTATGAAAGATGTTTCAGTTAGAAAGTGAGTTTTTATTGAACATTTTCGATTTTTACTATTTTATAATTTTATTAACACTTTTTTATAAAAATCTTCGTCATAATAATACTTGAGTATTTTTGTGTTATTAGAATTTAACAGCTTATAGTTATATTATCGGAGATATCCAAATGAATTAGAACCAAAGTCATGAAATGTGATAAGTACATTTTGTTAACAAGTTATCTTGGTGTCTAAACGTCTTTAATTCGATAACTTTATCTTGATTCTTGAGAAAACATGATTTATTTCTTTTCTTTACACAACCTCTTTAATTTTTATTTTTTCAGACACCCAAAACATTTTTTATTCGAATGGGGTGCTCGCGTCTTTGTTTTGTTTGTACAAAATATTTTATCTTTAAAAACCGATTGTTGTGCCGCTAAAACATCAATCTCATCTCTTAAGTTCCTTATAATCAACTGTAATGGAATTAATTCCTGTTCATAGAATTCTATTATGCTAATTTCAAGTTCACCGTTCTTGGCGCCTTCATCAGATTTGTTTGTTTTTGGACTGATAGTTTCCCCATCTGAAGCAACGAATATGAAGAACATTTAGTAATAAGAATTATTGTTAATAAGTAACGATAAAAATATTTACTTACCATTGGGTTCAATGGACTTCGGTTTAGTCACTTGAACATTATCGGGCAAGAATTTAGATTCGTTAATAGAAACACGTTGGTTAGGCTTTTTGATTTGAATAGACATGTCATGTTCCGCATCTACAGGAATCCTTATTTCGTTTGAAGAAATCCGTATTTGAGATTTAACTATCGTTACCAAATCATTCGGTGATCGAGTTGGCACATGTTTAGTATCGAACGTTGTAATAACTCGTTCATTTTTGTCGTTTAGACGACTATAGAAACCTAATTCTACATTAATATAGTCTTTTTTTAATGCGCTTCTTACTGTGTTCGCAGATTGATCAGGAGATAATATTGGAATACTTGTAGTATCGATGCTTTTAGTAATTTCGTTTGTAGAGTTATCGTTTGAATCTGTTCTTTCAGTCAGGACTTTTGGTGGTTTAGTAATTATTTTAACGTTGTTGTCTACATTTACAGGTAATACACATTCATCAGGAGAATCAAATTTTTCCTTTGGAATCTTTGGAAGTTTTGGTGGAATATTAGTAGGAAATTGATCAGTTATGTTATCTTTGCTCTCCTCCCGGTGATCGTCAATTGAATCTTTTTTATTATTAGCATCTTTATCTGGTGGAGTGGTTATTTCTTCGATTATTAACGGTGCTGCTACATAGTCTTTACCATTACCGCTTGGAAATATCTCATCTTTTTCCTTTTCACTCTCAAAAGTAGGTTCAGTAGATGATATACTTGTTAGATCGTTTGCTGTATCAGTGTCACTTTCGAAAACTTCGGATTTCTCATTTTTATTTTCATCTAAATCTATTTTGGAATCTCTGCTTTCATCGTACTGTTTGTTATCGATGTATGGTTGTGTTATGTCTTCAGGGATGGATTCTCTTGCTTTTCCATCAGACGTATCAGTATATAACGGTTTTTGAGAGTCTGTACTCATATTGTCTGTAACTAGCATACTTTGTTCTGATTCTTTTTGTTTCATGTCTAATTCATTAGTTTTGCCCTCTGCTTCATTTTCATTTATTATATCTGTAGGAATCGGTTTGAGAGGATGGTTGTCTTTATTTAATCCTTCTTGATTATCATTACTACTTTGTGACTTTATATCTTTTTCTGGCTCACTTTCTTCCGGCATTGTCTCAACAACATCGTGTTCCGTACTTTCAGATTTTTCCAAATTTGAATCTTTAGGGATGGGAATTACCGGTACAATTGGGTATATCCTTGGATTGGATAATTCTTTTGATTCTTGTTTTTGTAAATCGTCTGTGTTAGGAGACTTTGATTCTGTATCCGCATCTTTATTTGGTGGTTGACCAACGTCAGTGACATCTAAAGGAACTACTTTAAAAGACTGAATGGAATCAACTGCAGTGTCTCCTGTAGATGAGTCTTGCAATTGAAGAGATGTCTGAGTACCTACTGATTTCATTTCGATTGGTAAGTGTTTACTTGGTTCTAAATTTAAATCTTTTGTGTTTTTGTTATCGTTGGTAGCTAAAACTTGATCGGTTGGTGCATTATTTTCAGAGTCTGGTTTAGTAGATGGTATTGGAATTGGAATAGGAACGGGAATGATTCCAGGAAATTTAAATCCCTTGTGTGCATTTTTGTCAGATGAACGACGTTTTGTTTCATTTTGATTCATTTTATCATTGTCTTTATCCCGACTCATGCCTTTTGGAGGAATAAAATAAGATTCTGAATGTTCATTGAAAGATTTTCTTGGTTTATCTTCACTGGGACTCCGACTTTTAACTTTCTCCTCATTAACTTTTAAATCACTAGACATTTTTGGAGGGTAAGTTATAATAGAATTGGAATGACCACTTGTGGAGTTAACCAATGGGTCTCCTTGGAAAATGTTAACAACTGAATCCTTTTGTTCTGGCGGTTGTGTATTTGTGGATTGTTCACTAGACTTTGGTTTTCTCTTGAAGAAGCTGCCATCAAATATTGAACTATGTCTTCCATTTTTAGAGTCTTCGCGATTGCGAAGTATTGGTTGTTTATTACCATCAGTATCGCTTTCAACAACTTCCTTTTCTGGTGTCTTTTCTTTATTTGAAACACTTTTTTCAGCTATTATTTTTTTAGGATCTGGTTTCATAGTTGGTTTATAAGAATATGTATCTTCACTAAAAGGTGGGTCTAAACATCCTCCTGTTGAATGTAAAATTTTATATAAAAATATAATTTTGTACTTTGAATGAAAGTTAAGAAAATTAAGTGAAAAGATGAACCTGGTTTGCATTTGCCAAAAAAATACTTTTGTTCTCCTGATTGCGTAGAGACTGTGTAATCTTGATACACGTTTTTAGACAGTGTAAATGTGTGCTTTAATGTACCATCTGATTTGGTTGTTTGACTTGGTGCATTATATGAGGAACTAGGTATGTGAGTGTAATCATCATCTTCCAATGCTCCTAAAAATACCCCTGTAATCACGAAAAATTATACTGTAGGTTAAATAGAATAAAAGGCTAAATGCTTGATGAATCGAACCTTATTTTATTTATAAAATGATAATAGGTATTTGAATACCTGGTTTTAGCATCTCGAAAATTTGTTTACGGATTTTCTTCGGTGGTGGCTTTTTTTCAAATTCTGCTTCCATAAAAACATCGAAATTCAGGATCGTTTGATCACTGCTCACTAGTCGCACTCTTTGTAAACCTTTCATGTGTTTTGTAGTTGTTGTTACGTATTCTTCTGCTGTATCTTCGTCTTTTTTCCTTACTCTTATTTTTACATTCAATGGTGTGCTTTTAGAGACACTGGTGACATGATCTGACTTGTTTCTGGGAACTGCTTCTACTTCAAATGCTAGTTTTTGCATAATTTGTTCAACTACTTCTGTTTGAGTAATCATGTTGAGGGAAGCTACAAAAACAACCGATTTAAGAATCTGTTATGGAAACAGACCCACCACCACCTTTGTCACATCACACGATCTATAATTTGTCGTAAATTCCCAAGACTAATTATACTTAATCTAAACCTGATGTAATTTAAACTATCTACCACTAGACTATTAAAATTATTAATGAACGTAAAAACATAGAAATAAATAACATTTAATAAATATATAAATTAATTTTTATCCATCAAACACAAATGAATAAACAAAACGATTTGATTTAATGATTTCTTCAGATGTTGTAATATCTGGAACAGTATACGTAGAAACAGATTTATCCACCAAGCTTTGTTCTGAAGGCTCTTTGCTGCCAAATGTTATTCCAAGAGCAGAACACTTACAAATTATTTCGCTGAGCATTAATTTTAGGGGTAGAATCTCCTGTTCAACAGCTTGCATATATTCGGCTATCCTTATTTCTGGCGGTATTCTGCATTTAAATCTTAACTGTTTCGACAACTTCGGTCTGGAGACCTCAATAGAAAGTGCGTTACTCATAGAAACCGCATTACTGGAATTGCCGTTACTTGTTGAAACAGCGTTGCTTGTTTGATTGTCGTGAGACAAATCACTCGGTGAAGTTGAACTACCAAGTCCTAGCAAATCTTTATGAGAATCATAAAACTTGCAGGTTACAGCTTTTGATGCCACTATTTTAGTAATAAGTAGAGGGTCTTGTGTGCTAATTGAACAAATAGGAGATAACGATAACTTCTTTGCGGAATCGAAATTAGCTGAGTTAGTACCCACTGAAATGTTTGCTATAGCGTTACTGCTTCGTATATTTTTTACAAAAATGTCTTGCAAGTCTTCGGTGTTTGTCATTTCATCTACTGATATTGTCTTCAAAATCGTAGTACCAGATTTTCGTTTCATTATTTCTATATCTGAAAAATATATTATTAATTTACAAAACAGTATTTACGGTTAAATTTTAATTTATTTCTCAAATTCTTATTTTCTTCTCATGAGCAGCGTGTGCGGTCGTCCCCTCTGTGGTTCGAAACTAGTAGAGCTTTTCTCAGTATAATCACGTAAGTATCCCACGATTTTAGTTAATACAGGTTCCTTGTTGTGAAAATAAGATAACACAAAATAAAAAGTATTCATTCAGTACAATGTTGAAGGAGCAAATCAAACATACCTTTGTCTACCACAATACTTGTTTCTTCCTCCCTTATTTCATCCACAACAAACGTATTAGTTGATTTATGAGCAACGAGGAAATTCGGAATGAAATCAGGCGATATACGACCGTTTTTTAAAGCCTTAATGAGATCGTCTTTGGCTATACCACCTTCTAAAGTTTTATTTAGAATAAACGTATCGCTTATTATTCTCGTTACATCGCCTGATCCAAGATTCACTGTCGACTTTGACGATGAAATCAGTAAGTCAACACAAGAGTGAAATGTCTTCACTACGCTCTTACTTGAATCTTTATCTTGCCGTTTCTTTACAATCACTTTATACGTCATCGGTATCGTATATTCAATAAAATTTGTTTCTTTTTTCCAAGTCAGTTTGTCCAGATTTTGTAGGTGTGAAACTTCTGGTACAATTTCTAAGCAACATTTTGAATTGTTTTTAGGTTTTTGAATTAAAGGTGTGAATTTTATCCTTAAACACGCAGTTTCCATTTTTCACAAAGATTAACAAACATAAACTAAATCTGAAAAAAAAAATTAAAAAATAAAGAAATATAATAATTGTTGCTTCAGTTTATATTGTGGGTGATAACGGAAGGTTTTACTATAGTAGAATTAGAAATCTATCAACAATTCTAGTGTAAATTAATTGCATTAACGCACCGTATTGATTTGATACTACAAAAATATCACTAGAATATGAGGTATATAATTATCTCAACCTAGAGAATAAAATATCACAGGTAAACAAAATAACGAGCCGTTTCACGATGAATTGTTGCTAGAAAAAACGTGAATATAGATTTTTTGTAGAATAGCTATATTGTAAAACTCACCGAACAAGGAACAAAACTATTCAGGGAATAAATTGATAAAGAAATCGTCAACACATAATTTTGATCTTCAAAAATATTGTTGTGAAACTAAAATTTCGATTACATTTGGTAAATAATTATTAATTTATCATGTCGAATTACCAAAATTATCTATATACTTGTCACCAATGCCTTGTTTTTTTACTTCATTTTTCTTTTTATTTTAAGTGTCAAATATCCAGTAGTATAAAACTGTCAAAAGTTATAGGAGCAAAAAGGTTGTGTTTCTGGCATTATAGTCGACAAGATCGTTTTGAAGATTCTTTGCCAAAGAAGTGAGAAAATAAGTTCATATATAGGTTGTCTATTGTTACTAGATTGCTACCTTGTCGTTTTCTTGTTCAAGAAGAGTAGTATTAAATAAATATTAGAGACCTTGATGAGAGAGTAAATTGTGGTTTAGTAGTACATACTAAGTTACTAAAAAAATAAATTAAAGGTTCAAATTGTTACTTTAATAAAACGACGATAGAGTTATTCACCTTTTAATTTCAAAAAACTCTTCCTACTTCGCAATACTTAGGTACATCACCATCAATTCTTTTTAAATATTATATTATGTACTTAGATATAATTTTTACAAATTTAAATTTTACGATATGCGACGACAAGTTATTGCTCCTAATATTTTATTATATACTAAATTCCTGGATTATCACTAAGAACTCGAATAAATAATTTAAGAAGGATTATTATTTGTACAAAATCAAAACAATGACATAATAAAAATGTAATTATAAGGAAATAAATCACGATCACAGATTTGTTTGTTTCTCAAAATAATACACAAAGCAAGCGTCTTGAAATCAGTTTTTTATGGTATAGGAGGCAAACGGGCAGACGGATCACCTGATGGTAAGCGATCAGCGCCGCCCGTGGACACCCGCAACACCAAAAGAGTCACACGTGCGTTGCCGGCCTTTTCAAAATGAATACGCTCTATTCTTGAAGGTCATCAGTTACTTAAGCAGTGCCATTTGTACAATATTTTCATAATTTATAAGTTACTTCATTCTATCAATTCTTGGGCAGTGTCTTTTACCACAGTAAATAGGTATTAAGTACATACACAGCTAGCTTACAATGTCTTCGCCACAGTCTCGGGCGTAGTCTCATCTTAAACCTATTTTTTACAGGTCTTACAATAATAACCTAAGCACTAAAACTAATTACAAAATATATTAGAACGACCCAAACAACCCTGCAATTAAGGTCTGCGAAGCGTCATTAAAACTTTACATTTTAATTACATAACTAAACATAATTAAAATTAATCATTAGGTAATCAAAAAACAATCAGAATTTAAAGTTTATAGACGTAAAGATTATGTTAATTACTTTTAAAGAACATAAATAATTATAATTGGGTACTACTTGCCAAAGGAATACTTTTTTTTGAAATGTCAAAATTGTCATTTTTTATGAATTTTGTACGAGATTATGTGTTGTGACGTCACGTTTTTAGCGTCAAATAACATACCTACTTGTTTCTTAAAAGTTTGATGTAAAAATACTAAAATTAAGCTGGCCATAAACTGCATTAATGAAAGTGTGATTATTTTTTAATATTTTATTGTATTGACAGTAGAAATTATTTATTTTTGGTTAAGGAAAATACCCAATTATGTATAAGTAACAAAAGACCAAACTTAACCAAAAGTGACGTTTTTCATTGGTTGACAATTATGAAAAGAAAATAGATATCGCAGACTGGAATTGAAAAAGCCAGGCACATTATGAAAACCTATTTATATTTATAAATATTCTCTAAACCTAAGTTAGTTAAGCGTATTGTATTTCTTTACCTAAGTACTATATTTATAATTTTATTTATATTACATACGCTAAGGACTAGATTTTTGAGATCACTCTGAAAGCCAATTTTGTAATTAATTAATATTAATAATACGGGTTTACAATTTAACTATGATTAACAAAAGATTGTTAAAGAAATCGAATATTTAAATGACTAATGTTTAAAAACTGGTGTTGTCCTTTTATTCAGCTTCAGTTTATTTAAGTAGATATTTGTTTTTTTATTTTGAGCAGTAGTTATTTAAAATATTTTAGTTTGTTTTCTGTCTAATTAAATTATAATGTCTTTTGGTGAACAAGAGAAATATGTTGTTCAAATAATGTAGCTTTTTATAATAACTATCTTGAGACATACTAAATTAACTAAAATCGCAGGTTACTCACGTATACTGAGAAAAGCTGTACTAGTTTCGAACCACAGAGGGGTTCTTCCTCATGAGCAGCGTGCGCGGTCGCGGCGACGTCGTACAGCTCACTGGCAAGCTAGTAGAGCTTTTCTCAGTATAATCACGTGAGTAACCCGCGTTTTTAGTTATAATAATGTAGCGTTTATATTTGATTCTTTTCAAGTTTCTTTTAATTATTATCTACAACGTATTTATTATTAAACAATTAAGTTTATGCGAGATTTGGTTTGTCGGTACTTGAATTATATTTTACACTATATATAAGTTAAATGCTATGCTATAAAATCATATTAAACTATTAATATTGCATAATCGTCCCACCTATTTGACACTTTCGTGACAATTTTACATACAAGCCTATCCCTATTCAAATTTGTAACTTCAATCGTGCTCTGACTTACCCCCTGTTTGGGTAAATTCTCTCAGTGTTTGTTCCACATTGAGTCAGACTGCTTTTATGGCTCGAAATCCTACCTGATTACAACATAAATCTGTTTAATATTACTTTCATTTGCTGACCATCCATTGAAACCATTTTAACTGAAAATAAATTTATCGTTGTCAGCTACCAAGAGCACAAGACCGTTTAAAAAATCATCAATTTTCCACCATACATATATTATGGTTATTTTAAACCATCTTGGTGTTGAAAAATTCATTGTCATCGACTTAAATTATTATACAGATTATAACTCTATGTGGAACCAACACGAGGCCTTATAACTAAACACCAAAATGTTCATTCGATGCCACAAATCACTACTAACGTTAGCAACATTGTCGTGGAATCACAAACTATGGAGTTTCTAGCACAATACCTCTATCTCTTTATCTACGGGAGAAATATTTTGAAAAATACGGGTCAATCAATTTGTGCGTGTTTTAAGACTCCTGCACAGTGTTACTACCACTAAAATCGATTTTTTTATCCACTAGCAACTATAGAACATTCTTCTACATTGGTCTTACGGTACAGGAGACTTTTGAGTGTTCGATATTTAAAAGGAATTCAAAAATCAACATCACATTTTTAATTTATATTTTATTATCTGTGATTTGAAATACATTTGAATTTATTACTTTTGAATTCCTTTTTTAAATCGAAAGGCATTAATTGACTTGTGAACTAGAAGTGTAATAAAACATGGTCTACACTACAATGCTAAAAAACGTTAAGTAAATGAGAAGTAACATCGCGATAACATTTTACCAATCACAAACACCATTCTTTACCAAATATATTAACCAACCAACCGATTACCAAATATTAAATCAATATTTTTGATTCACATTAATTTTCTATGGAAGTTATTGCGATTATTCCTCTTTTTTAATAGTTCGTGCTCAGTGCTAAACACTTTTTGGGAAAAGACTATAAAAAAAAAGTTAATACTAAAATAAAAAAATATTCTATTCTATCAGGTAATAAATAAGTTAATTTAAACTTTAGTGCCAATTTCATAGAGTTGTAAATCGCCAACCAGAATCACATTTTATGAGTTGTTTTAGGTATTTTGTATTAACCCAGTAACAAAAGGTTAAACTCAGTACTAAGAATTTAATTATACGTAGCCGCGGAAGGCCTAAAGAGTTGCCGGGGCTCCGGCTCGAAGAGCAGGAGTAGGAACGGGATGGTTTTTAGTCAGTAAGATTCTGACACTCCCTCTCGCCTAACCCAAGGTGGGAAAAGTCATTGGATGATTTTCCCCGTCTCAAAAAAAAATCAATTAATAATTCATCCTTTTCTTTTCCCTTTTAAAATGTAAATAGTTATTTAGTTATGTATTAGGATACATAACTTTATGTTGAGAGGTCGGCACTAAAGTTTACATTAAACTGATGTAGGTACTGCTAATTACAAAGCCTACATTACTTTTTTTTATAAGGTTTTTTATATGGTTGAATTCTTATATTATTGTGAGGTCTGCCTGCCATCTACTTACTAATTCCACTTTATTTCACAATTTTTATTTGACAAGATTTAATAATATGTTTGCTATAGAAATTAGAACATATGGAAGTAATGGAGGTTTAATTTTAGTTATAACTACATTCTAATAAGGAATAACTTTCCAATTAAAACCAATGTAAATTAATAGCTAAATTTCACGAACAGGTCATTAATCAATAGTTTTTAAAAATGATTTATGGACATTTTTAAAAAGATTCCAAAAAAAGAATCGTTCCTATATTGTCGATCGTATTAAATAATGGTCTTTTTATCATAAAAAAAAATGTGCAAATAAATGATTTAGTTTTTTCAGAATTACTTTCGTATAAAATTCAATTGTAAATGACCTATTCATAGAATTTAAATTCCTAATTACATCTAGTTTAGTTTCTAGCTAGGGAATATCCGATTATCAGTATTGGCAGTACAAGCGACTACTTATCTAATTAGGTACATACTCCGTGCTTGGGTACTAGAGTCAATACAATACAATAACTATTAAATACACCATTTTGTCTGGTCAATACAAAAATAATTTTATACACAAACTTACTCTAAGACTAGGTTCCAAAGACTAGATACCATAGACTAGATTCAAATGACTAGAATCACTCATCCCCCGTTAAGTTACACTTAGTATAATTAAAAAATAAATAAAGCGACGCAATAGGATTCTATAAACATTATTTTCTTATTATAGGTTTGTTATATTTACAATTGTTTGTATAGCAAAACTAATTATATAGGTTTTATATAAAAGCTAACTAATATTATACGCACGAAACTGTAACGAAGCTCCTGTAAACTAGACATTTATGTAAGTAATTTGTTGCACATTAGAAAGTACAAATTTTCTTTGTTTGTCTTGATATAATTTAAGTAACAGGCTGTAAATGAAATATTGTACCTATAACCCAGTCACATGACTACTATTTTATATTGAAGTTTATTATTTCTTAAGCATCATTTGACTGGATTTTATGTACAAACCACAGATTACATAACATAGATTGACATTGCACTTATGAATTCGTTGTATAAAAAATTATGTACCGTTATTACTATTGCATTTGTAAAAAAGTAAGTTATAGCTATTGTATGAGGCATCATTGTGTACGTCTAATTTAATCACCAAATAAATTGTAACGAGAACATTTTTGGGTTTTTTATCTGCATAATACTCGTTTATTGCAAAACACGTTAAAATCAACCTTATTTTATGACAATTTCAAATAAAAAATAACCATGAAACCACTTTTTTAAACCTTATCAATACTGGCCTTAATTGTCTGAACGTACCCCACTTGGAAACGAATGTCTCGCAATTAGCGACTCAAAACTTCAACATGATAGTATCGTCTTGGTAGACGGCCTTGTTACATGTCTCCGTGTGAAATGCGCTGAGGGGCGTTGGCGGGGCTCAGGTGCACAGTCCAGAATTGTCTACTAATGAACGGGCTAATACATCAGCGGCCGCGATGTCACTCACTTTGCCCTCGAAGTGCCCTCTCACATGGAACATGAACTCCGCTTTGCCTGCAAATTCTTGTCTGCACA